TGACGAAGCCCCGCCCCCTGCTTCTGGCCGCCCCACTTCCGGCCCTCATTCATCCAGGAGGAGGCAGGAGAAGAGGGAGGGTAAGTTGCTTCCTCCCTGCCTCTCCCCACCCCTGCCTGCCTGGGGCCAGGGAGGGCCTTCACGGGGCTTCCTTGCACTCCCGCCGGCCTAGCAGGTCCACCGCCGGGCCCCTCATGGTGTGGCATATGCTAATGAGCTATGCTAATGAGTTCCCCTAGCTCTTTTTCTACGAAACAACCCCTGGCCAAGATGGAGTGGTGTGAGGGAACAACCTCCTGATTTAGGAAGTCTTTGATTGAATCAACAATCCGTTGTGGCATTCAAAATTTAGCTACTTCAACAAACTGGAGGGGGGGGGAATCTAAACCCCTGGGATAGTCCTTCCTCCACTCTCTAATGCTAGCAAATTGATGCATGGCCACAGTGGCATGACATTTGTAGACCGGATTTCAAACCATCATATCTCTCATTACAGATGTAGCTCCCCAACAGGGAAAATAGTACTTCCCTGGGCCAGTTTTGTTTTGGGAAAATGGCACCCAGTGAGCAGGTGTTAAAGCCCCTCCCCTCCCCCACACCATGGTCAAAATCGGGCTGCAACACACTTCAGAAGAGAAGAAGGAGAAGAAGAGATTGGATTTATACCCCACCCTTAACTACCCAAAGGTGTCTCAGAGTGGCTTACAAACTCCTTTCCCTTCCCCTCCCCACAACAGACACCCTGTGAGGTAGGTGGGGCTGAGAGAGCTCTTGACAGAAACTGCTCTTTTTTCAAGAACAGCTCTTATCAGAACTACGGCTTGCCCAAGGTCATCCAGCCAGGTGCAAGTGGAGGAGTGGGGAATCAAACCCGGTTCTCCCAGATTAGAGTCCGCGCACTTAACCACTACACCAAACTGGCTCTCTTCAGTCTGCCTTCCCCCCCCTTCAGAACTTAGTCCCCCACAGCTGCTGCATGCATGTGAGACGATCAGAGTTGGGTTGGGGAAAGGCAGACTGATTCACAGGAAACATCTTGTCTAGTTCAGCTCCTAGTGTTCTGTGATTGTAGTTTCCTAATAACATTTTTCTTCTGATTTACTGCATCACTTGCCTATGATTCCAGCAGGAAAGTCCTAACTACTTCACTCCTGATTTGATACAGCAAGAACCACAGCCATCTTGGGGGGAGGGGGGGATTCATCAGTAGTCAACCCAAGAGAAATGGCCTTCATCCGACTCTGATAAACACAAGCACGCATTTCTTGCTCTCCTACTCCACACTTTAAAGCTGCCCAGTCTCTCACCTCCAACTGCGCCAGCTTTTCTTGTACAGTATAGTACTGGTCGTTGTCTGCTTCTACAGCTTTCCTCATCACATCTCCCATTTCACAGATTCTGTCTATTTGAGTCATGATTTCCTGTGGACATTTTTAAGGAGAAGTTATTTTCCAGCAGATAGTATGAAAGGATACAAAACCAAGGCATGCCAGATTTCTTTTTTAATCAAATTTCTGCTTTTCTCAACAAGGGAAACATAGTGAGGCCTCAGAAAGGCCTTTAACCTATTCTCATGTATGGAGCATTAAGAAAGTTTAAGAAATGCAGCCTTCAGTTATAATAAAGCTATATAAAATGGTTAGCAAGGGGACAAAAATTGGAAAGTGGATGTCTGTACAAAATGGAAAATCATTAGTCAAGCAGCAGTAGCTCCAAAAATGAGACTCTGGGCCATAAAAGTTAAAACTAAACATGCACCACCAGTGTGTGATATGCCATGATATATTAAAAATAATACTTTAAAACTACTAGCTTATGATCTCAAGACTTATCCATCTAGTCTTGACTTTTAAAATATCATGTCAGCCTCCAGTGCAGACCTACAGTCTCCAGGTGGCAATCTGACAGAACAAGTCAGAGTACACTAAATGCCTTCAGGAGAAAGGGAGGAATCACTTGGATCTTTATATGTATTTTCATAAACAGTACAACAGAGAATGTATTGTAATTGTTGCCTGTCTCAGGGAGTTTTATAATGCTGAAGTCACCAATAATTACAACCCGGCCTACAGGTGATAACCAGATCATTTGCTTGATGAAGAATTCTGAAGGAGGTACCTGCTGGCTGAGTTGTAATGCTTTGTTCTAGAAAGGGAAGACACTACGGAGCTGAGGGCATTATTAGAAGGAAGGTGTTTCAGAGAGGAGGCTCTTTAGGGAAATACAAAAGAGGCATGCAGCAGATTCAGAGGAACAGAGCACTACACCCCAAACAGCTTATTTAAGAGTCCTCTTTATTCCTATTCTCCCCCCACCCCTGAGAGAAGATAATGTAATGATTCCTTACAGCAGATTGAGTTTGATGCACGTTCAAAACCGGTTGAGCATCTATATCTTTTCTTTTCATCATCAGCTGTAGCATGTGTTTTCTGTATTTGCTCATAATAAGTTCCAAAGCATCCTGGTGTTCCTCCAAGGAGACCCACAATTCTTTTAAAAAAAAAAAATGGCATGCACAAATTCCATGGAGTAACTATGAAGACAGATATCCTGCTGACCTGGTACAGTAAAAATTCTAACTTTTGAAAATGGAAAACTACTCAATAAGAATATCACAACTAAGACTGTACAACTTTCCCATTGTGCACTGTCTTTATTATGATAGCTCCAGGGGGAAAAAACTCCTAGGTACATAAGCAAGGTTAAGTAAGAGGAGCACAACTTCTGAACAGCCATGTCTCTGTAGTCTACAACTGCGATCACACACACTAAATAATCCACTTCCAATGCACTTTCCAACTGGATTTTGCCAGTTCACACAGTGAAATCCAGTTCGAAAGTGGATTGAAAGTGGATTATTTAGAGTGTGATTGCAGCCTAGCTACATCTTACCACTTACAGTTTCTGCGCTGATAATCCTTTGTATATACAGATGTTCATTACTTAACAAGCTTGTACAAAAAAGAATACATCTGAGACTGATGGCAAAGGAACTGATGGAAATTTTGTTAACTCTGGTGTCATTCTATGTATGTCCAGTCATCATTCTTCATGGGATTACATTTATGATTAAAGTTACCATGAGAATGAAACAAGAATGTGAGATTGAAAGGCTTATGACTAGAAAAAATGTACAATCTTCATTGTGTGTAGAAGTTTGTTTTTAACCCATGAAAAAAACTGTTGCTTTACTGGCACCTTAAGTCATTTTCTTCTTTGTTTCACTGCCTCCAAAATGCAGTCTGCCATTGAGCAACATACCCTTTGAAGCTGTTCTGACAACCCACTAAAATGATTTAACCCATCACTTATCATTTTAAGCCACAATTACAGGATTCTTTTAAACATTTTTAAAAAAACTTTGGGGTTTTGTGGCTAGTAACATTTCCAGTACATTCTCGTTACTGCTTTCTGACAGGTATCAAATTCCAGGGGAAGCAAAGGCAGCATTATATGGCCTGAACTTGTCAGATCTTGGAAACTAAGCAGGGCTGATACTTGGATGGGAGACCACCAAGGAAGACTCTGCAGAGCAAAGCAATGGGAAACCACCTCTGCTTCTCACTTGCCTTGAAAGCCCCTTGCTAAGGTTGCTGTAAGTTGGTTGCAACTTGACAGCACTTATGTATGTACATATCAAATTCCAGAGGAGTAGCCATGTTAGTCTTACAGCAGAAAAAAAACAGAAGTCTTATGATTCCCATAATGAAAGAAATTAATTTTACATAACTGTTTTTGGATTCATTAGCTTGCATCTGAAGTGGGCTGTAATCCACAAAAAATGATGCTAGAATAAAAAAAGACTACAGCTCACTATTTGTTTGTTTATTAGGAAAATATTTATTCCCCCCTTCTCTTCCAAAAAGGGGCCCAAGTCAGCTTACTGAAATGTGTGATAGAACACTTAGACATTATACCAGATAAAAACTAATTAAAATAACCCAACTAAGTGCACTCCAGGAAACAACCTGAACCACAGCCAAAAAAAGACATACATTCTAACATCCCCCCCAATCCATTTTAAAAAGAACTGTCTTGCAGGCTTTCGTAAAAGCTGGGATATTCCATACCAAATCAATAATTGGGGGTAGGGGGTTTGCATAATAATAATGGATCTGCAGATCCATTAAATGTCATGAAATTTTTCTACAGCCAATTTTTTTAAAAATTATATCATCGAATATTTATTCAGAGTTCATAATATACTATATATGCAGAATTCCTTATACTGTACACTCCCAGTAATTAAAACTGATATGACAAATCTGGAGGTAAAGCATACATAATGTTTATGTATATTAAAATACTTTTAAAATTTAATAGATTGGAATAAGCAAGAAGAATGTTCTTGGAGTTGCTAAATGCAACCTAAACTACCTAACAAGTGCAATTTAAATGTTACTTTGCACATGCTGATTTGAGGGGGACAACAGTAGAGGATTTTGATATTTTTAAGAATGTTGATGGCTGAAAATCTGTGTGCATTAAAATAATACTATTCAATGTGCTTGATCTGATCACTAATAGGTAAATTGACATAACCAAACTTTTCACTGGATCTACATGCACAGAGGAAATAATGGGTGCAGAAATTCATTACAATTTAGAGGTTTCCAATAAATGTTTGGCCAACACTTACTGCTGTGTTCCTGCTACTTTTGAAATAGAATGTGGGCTTTCAATAATGGCTGTTGTAGGCCAGAGAACATCTCACTCAATAGCAACAAGAATGAGCACATATTTTAAAGAAAATGTGACCTTGAACAATTTTTGGAGGAGTGTGGGGCCCTACCACTCAGTGAAAATTACAAAAAAAGTCAGAAAGTAAATTTAAACATGTAAGAACATAAGAAGAGCCCTACTGAATTAGATCGGTGGTCCATCTAGTCCAGCAGCCTATCTCACGCAGTGGCTAACCAGTTCCTCTGGAGAACCAACAACAGGCATAGAGGCCAAGGCCTTCCCCTGGTGTTGCATCCTGACTCTGGGATTCAGAGGCTTAGTGCCTCTGAATGTAGACGTTCCCGTCAGTCACCATGAATCTATCTAACTCCCTTTTAAAGCTGTTTATTCCTGTGGCCATCACTACATCCTGTGTAAAGTAGTATTGCCTTTTGTCCGTCCTGAACATACTGCCCATCAGTTTCATTGGATGTCTTCAAGTTCTAGTACTTTGGGAGAGAGAGAGAAAGTTCTCTTTGTCAACTCTCTCCACCCCATGCATAATTTTATAAACCTCCATCCAGTCCCCCCTTAGTTGTCTCTTTTCTAAAGTCATAGACTCTTCATCCTTTCCTCATAGGGAAGGTGCTCCAACCCCCTCATCATCTTGGTTGCCCTCCTCTGTACTTTTTCCAGCTCTGCAATGTCCTTTTCAAGATATGGTGACCAGAACTGTACACAGTATTCCAAATGAGGCCACACCATAGATCTATACAGTGGCATTACAATATCAGCAATTTTATCCTCAATCCCTTTCCTAATAATCCCTAACATAGAGTCTGCCCTTTTCACCACTGCAGCACACTGGGTCGACACTTTAATTGAGCTATCCACTATGACTCCAAGATCTTTTCCCCTCTCCATCTCAGCAAGTTCAGACCCCATTAGCCTACAGTTGAAATTGGGATTATCAACATCAAATTTCATTTATCACATTGTCGCCCACTCACCCAGTTTGTGGAGGTCCTCTTCATAGTCAGTCTTGGTTTTCACCATCCTGAATAATTTGGTGTCATCTGCAAACTTGGCCACTATACTACTCACCCCTAGTTCCAGATCACTGGTAAATAGATTAAATAGTATTGGCCCCAATACCAATCCTTGTGGGACCCCACCGCTTACTTTCCTCCATTGTGAGAACTGTCTGTTGATTCCTACTCTTTGCTTCCTGTCATTTAACCAGTTTATTCAAATTTTTAATTTCAATTTGCAACCACAAAAAATAAAACAAACTACTGTCATCTAAATCATACATAAAACATAGACAATCATCTACAGCTTCAATCATCTGCAATATCTAGATCATACAGAGAGAAACTACAGTCATCTCTATCATACAATTATCAATCAAATATACATCTAGAACTTAAATGTACTCTTGATTTTTCACTTCTATTTAAATACATTTATTCTATATTTTCTAGCTATCTTCATATCTACATATTTTGTGATGGATCCCAAAAATGTTATTAAATATTTTACCAAGCAACATTATAAGAACACACAGTGAATTATTTAAGTATATGGTGATGGGAGCCAAAGTAATATCTGCAGCAAAATGGAAGGCAGAAAGATGTCCAGATTTGAAGGAATGGAAGAATAAACTAAATAAATATGTGACAATGGTAAAATTAACATCTTATATACACAACAGACTGACATCAGAATTTCAATAAAAATGGAAAATAGTTTAATTATATAGCTGAAAATCAGGAATAAATTAAAATAGAAAATGATGAAAAGATATGAAGAAAGCGATGAAGACTCGCTCTTTGGCTTGCATCTCTACCTAGGAGGAGCGCTACAGTTCAGAAGCCCACAGCTCCTGCCTCCCAGCAGCAACAGCAGAGGGTGGGGCCTGCAGTCAGCCCCATATGTTGTAGGTATGTAGGGCTATCTTTCAGCTATGCTCCTGCAGTGTGCAGGGAGTTGGACTAGATGACCTGCAAGGTCCCTTCCAACTCTAACATTCTATGATTCTAATATCTGTTCATGTCTTGCAGCTCTCAAACATCTGACGTTTATTCTGTGTGATTGTTACGTTAAGCAAGTTTGGCCACCTCTGGTCTAGAACTTCATCTCGGATCACCTCAATTTGGCTTAGTTCTTCAGACTAAAAATGTACAAGGTCTCTGGAAAATTTCAACAAAATCCTTTACTATGGCACAATCCTCATGTGTCAAATTATGTTGAGCTGGCATGGAATGACTGATCTAGCAGGTGTGGGCAACTTCCTCTCCTCTTCTGGGAGCCCATTCCAGCAGGCTGGGGCTACAGCTTAGAAAGTTCAAGGCGGGCTGAGACAGATCTCACACAGCCCCATGAGACATCACAACTGGTATAAACTGCTGAGAAGGGCTCAAGAGGCATACAGGGGAAACAGTCCTGCAGAAGGAGCTAGCCCTACAAATCTCAGCGGAACTCACCAGGAAACATTTATAAGGCTGGGCTGCATACAAGCACTTCCTAATGTCACAATGTTAGGCATACATTCCCTTCAGGGATTGTATCCAGACCCTACAGAAAGTGATGGTTTTCAGTTCACAACAATCAACAATATTACAATCTAGAGGGTGATGCTCTCAGCTCCAAGTCACTTGACAGTTCACAATTGTACCATCAGCAAAATTCCTCACCTTTGTTTTCCTGTTGCAGGTCTCGGATCTGTGTGTTCTCCTGTGATAGCAGGATGTGAGGTTTGTATTTTGACATGTCCTTCAGCTCAGCTGCATCTTCTTGGTACTTGTAAAGCAAAGAACTCTGTGTGACTCCAAAGAACAAGGGCATACATGCCCCCCCACACACTGTACATATACAACTGATCCCTGCCAATGCCAGATCTGCACTCACCTTGTGAGAAAGGGCTGTGCCAGCCTCTTTCATGGCTACCACTCGCTTGTGCAAAACAGTGGACTGGTCAATGAGAGACTCAGCGGCATTGTCATGGTCCTTCAACCTTTCCAGCAGCGTTCTTGCATCAGTCAGAATCTTCTCTATAGTACAGGCCATTGCCAGAGAACTAAGAGATGGACGAAAAGAATTGGTCAAAACTCCAGAGGTGCCAAGGGAGACAGATGGAAAATTGAACCCATAAAATATGCTGTCCTGATTTCATTAAGAAACGCAAAGCCAAAAAAACGCTTTGCAAGGGAGTATTAAGAGTCCTGATTTCATTAAGAAATGCAAAGCCAAAAAACGCTTTGCAAGGGAGTATTAAGAGAGAAGGTAAGAAAATACACAAGTAAATGGACTGACCCCACTGCCAGGCCCAAGTTTTGCTCAGAAACTCTACTTCGATCTGCCAAGGACATAAAGTCCACAGACCTTACAGGGAGAAGGGCCTTGACGGGCCACAGGAGGGCAGCACCGTCCCACCCCGGTGTGCACTCTCTAAAGGAGGTGGGGAAGAGGACATACAACTCCATTACCAGCCCCACACAACTCACCTCGGCTCCTGAGTGCCGGCCCTCTCCTCCGCCTTTCCTCCTTCCGTGTGCGGCGCCCAGAAGCTACACTGGGAGGCAGCAGAAGCACCCGTCACAGCTTCCGCCGTGAAGTCTCCGTGGGTCTTTACTAAGGCTTCCGGTTCACCTTTGCCTTTGGTGTGCGGGGCAAGAGCCCGTGGAAATGCTGCTGATGAAGTAGAAGGATTCGTGACAAAATCACAGACGCCGAAGTTCCTTTTCGTTGCAGAAATTCAAGAGACAGCACCGGTCATCATGGAGATACAGCGATGGATGAGGACGCCTCTTAAGCCAGGGCTCTTCCCCCAGTTAAATCGCAACCCAAAATGTAACCGGACAATCGCACCCTCAGTTCTGATATGATACGCCTTAAAGCCCGATTTTGCTGCCCAGTAAGGGGGGGGGGGGCATTCATTTGAGTCTCTTCAACGGGGCCCTTTTCATTTTCTGGCAAAATAAACTGCCCATTTTTCAACCTCTCTTTATCCCTGTTAATGACATGCTGCCGGAACATCCGGCAGCATGTCATTAACAGGGATAAAGAGAGGTTGAAAAATCTCACATACACTTTTACACTGCCAGTTTGGCTTGGTCACGGAGGAGTGGGAAGAGGCAGACTGGAGCACGGCGTTTTCTCAACGTTTACTCGACCTTTGAAGCGCAATCAGACCGAACGCCACTGCCAACTCAACTGCCTTTTTATCTTTAAAACCTTCTTTTAAAACTCTATTTTAGCAACCCACGAGAGACATGCTCATCTAGCGAGCAAAAGGATCTTTCATTAACCCTATCCTGCGTTGTTTGATGTTTTACATATATTCCACACTCTTGCCTCGAGTATGAAGAATTGTACTGGGAACTGAAACTAAGGGATCAGTGGAACTCTGTTTTTTTTTAATCTCTGCTAAAAGCATGCTACTGGACACGCACATTTCGCATTGAGCATGCTCACTGGAAGGAATGAAGCCAGATGCCCGTTCTTCACTTCATGTCCCTTTACTGGCCACCGGTTTTTGGTTAAGCAAGTGACGCCGCGAGTTCTGTTTACTCCCACACCTTCCCTACCCCTCATTAAATCTCCTGAGCGCGATTCTCAACAGACCAGATAGTCTTTCTGGGACCTTTTCAGATCGGGAAAATGGCCCGACCTAGAAGGATAGGGACAGGGAGGCTCATAAAATCCGGAGTGGGTATAGTGTATCTTGGTCGGACTGTGCACAGTAATCGTTCAGTGTATTTTGTATTGGAGAAAACCAAAATCAGTGTAGGGACTGGACACACACATCACCCAGAAGTGACATAATGACGCCAGGCACACTGGGCCCGCCATGGAAGGAGTTCTTCCACTTGCTAGTTTAATAATCTACAGAGTTGTGAGGATAAAATGGGGGTGGAGAGAGCCATGTAGGTTACCGTGAACAAGTTAGAGGAAGAGGAATTTAAAAATATGTTACAGCAACAATGTATAAGTTGTGTATAAGTGTAAGGAGTCACTCTTAATAGTTCTACTCTGAAGTAAGTCCCATTTTGTTCAAGATGGGTAGCCATGTTAGCCTGTAGTCCAGTAGAGCCTTCAAGACTAGCAAAATTTGTGGCAGGGTATGAGCTTTCCTGAGTCACTGCTCACTTCTTCAGGTAGCTTGACGAAAGCTCATGCCCTGCCACAAATGTTGTTAGTCTTTAAGGTGTTATTGGACTCTGGCTCTTTTCTACCATTTTATTCAGTGGGGATTACTCTGAAGAAAGTATTAATAGAGTTCCAGGCTTTGTCCCCAAAAATGCACGCTCTCTCACAAGAAGCACAATGAAGTGATAGGATGTACTACCTCAGACCATTTCCATGCATTCAGTCATTACTGAAGATGGAACATTTTTCTCAAGGCAGTTGGCAACCCTAAATATTTAACACAAATGGACCAGTTGGCTTGCCTCAGAACTCTCTCAGCCCCACCTACCTCATACTGTACTGCACTCCTTTAATCTGGTCTGTTCTTCCACCCTTGCTGGACAACTGTGATTTACAATCTGCTGCAAATTATGTAATATAGAACTGCCCTGGAATAAAAGGATAGCAGACCACATGCAGCCTGGGCCTGTGCATATTTATTTGAATGCAAGTCTCCCTGAGGACAATGAAGCTTACTCTCCTGTAAATATACATAGGATTGTACGGTAAAACCCATGGAAGTCTGTTGGTTAAGCTGAACTGATGAAGAGATTCTGTTCCACCAAACACTAGCAGAATTACACTATATATCTTTCATCCAATATGGTTCCTTATTTTGTGGAGTTCTAAATACAATCATTTGAGTGTGGCTCTTTCATCGGAGCTCAATGATGTAAGGAATGTTTCTTATAAACCATTATTATTTCAACAAACTAGGATTTGGGCAAATTCACCATTTCTGTAAACAAAAAATTATAAACTAATCTGACTCCATAGTGCTGTCATCTTTTGCAGTAGCCTCTGAGGAAATTCTGTGGCAAATATCCTGCCGAAAGATAGCGCTGACAGTTTTCCAGTTCTGTGACTGAGATTGTGTACAAATAGTTCATGTTTTGTGAATGACTTTCTGCAACCAAAAAAATGCATTTTCTAAACAATCGGATGTTTCTCAGAAAACTTGGAAGATCTTTTTTTCCTGTACAAAGGTCAAAGAAATACATTGCAGACATTGCTGCTTTAACTTTATAAAGTGCCATTTCTCTGGTGGCATTCTCACACTTTTTTTAAAAAAAGAAGTCCTGTTGGTTTGAACAGGAACCGAACCATCCTGTCACAGTTCTACACAACAGGGAACCCCACAGGTGACAGCAGAGGTAGAATCTGTATGCCACTTACCAGTAGTACAGGTGCAGTAGAACAGCAAGGAGATAAGGCGGGGCAATAATTAGGATCCTTCTGTTAATAAAGGTGGAAGTCTTAAGACAAGTTGGTTGCAAGAGTGAAGAGTGTGATTTCAACCTTTAATTTTATGGTTCTTTCTAAGATTTTCTTTTCTGCAGCTCATGTAGTTGTGGTAGCTCTGCCCATGACAGGCATCATCCTGTCATGATTTATTGAAATGCAGGCCTGAACAGGATTTTAACATCTAACTCGTTATTGCTTATTGTAATGGGCAGTGGCTCTCCAGGGTCTATGGGAGATGCCAAGAGTTGAGCATGAGGCCTGCCACATGGCCATTTATGAATAAAATAACCTCTATATAGATTACAATAGATCTGGCATCATCACTGTTTGATGACTTTTGGGTGCTGGATCCTAAGAAAGTCCTGAGTTGCAGGTGCTTAGCATCCTGAAGGTGGTTGTTGGAGCCCAGGAGTTAAAGGTTAGGCATCTTAGAAATAAATGATCCATGTCATCTTTCTTGGAATCCCCAATAAGGACTGATGTCTGCCTCCTTCTGGGGCATATTGCTGCAAGAAATGGGCCTTATCCAGGAATAATTTAAAAAACACACAGGGAAAGAAAAAAAAAGGAGCGAGAGAGTATAAAACAAACACTGTGGTGGCAACTGCTGCTGAAACAACATTAGTTAAATTTGCACAGCCAATCAGATCTCCAGTGGCCTCTCAGAAACCCTGCTGGGTAAGAGCCCCTGCTGGCCTCACTCCCTTTCTGACCAATGTTCCCTCTAAGCTGTAGAGTCCTGTGAGCAAAAATTCTACTTTGTGAGCTACTGGCATTAAAGTTGTGAGCAGGTGATTTGGCTACTGCATAAAATAGTGTGTTCTGGAGCCCTCCTTCCTGAGCCGAGACAAAAATGTGTGAGCCGGAGGCTAAAAAAACTGTGAGTTAACTCACACTAACTCAGCTTAGAGGGAACACTGTTTCTGACTACTCTTGGTGGGCACCTTGGTGCTCATGGGTACCACACTGGGGACCCCAGAGCTACAGTGCTGAACTCTTTCAAACTATGGTCTCCCTCCACCAACACCCCAAAAAAGGATCGGATTCTTTCCAATACTAATCCATGAAGTTAATATGATCATACCTAGTTTCCCGTGCCTGCTGCATTGTCAATGTCTGGACTGTTGGACTAGAGTATTTGCATGGCACATGGACTCCTATCCTTGACCTGATAGGCCCCTGGTTATCTATTTAAACACTGCCTTAAAAAGTGTTTAATGAATTCCAGGCTGAGCTTTGTCAATATGTCATCTTATCTATCTTCTTATTTGTCCCTTTTCATAGTAAACACCCCCTACTCATTTTTTTTTTTTGTAAAGTAGATATTCTGTAATGCTGACTGGATTCCTTGTTACTTATTTGCTAGGAGAAGGCACTGTTAGTTATATTTGGTGTCTTTGATGTTTAATTTGACTTTGTTCAATGAGATTTTCAGTTTGGTCTAATTAGTGAAGCTTGTTGCCATTTAAAAATAATTCAATACATGGCAAAAATCACCATTTGACTTTTGACACCTCAATGGTTAATTTCTTTGTAATTTATATTTTATTAGTAAAAGGAAATACAGAATGTAAAAACAATCTGGAATATGTTCATGAGTTCACAAAGACAATGTATATCCTGAGGTTTCACATCTGTTTGACACATTTTTAAAAACAGAAACACCTACCTTTCACTGAACAGTCAGTTATCTCTCATTTGTTGTTAATGGTCAATTAATTCATAAACATTGTTTCTTATTATGTTTGTGACCATATTTTATCTATTTATTTAACTTGTATCCCACCCTACCCCAGAAAGAGGCTCAGGGTGGCTCACAACATAATAAAAACAATAAAGACCATGATATAAAACAGTTAAACAATTAAGTGATTAAAACAAGATGGCATTAAACACGTGTAGTTCACAAAGACAATGTATATCCTGAGGTTTCACATCTGTTTGACACATTTTTAAAAACAGAAACACCTATCTCTCATTTGTTGTTAATGGTCAATTAATTCATAAACATTGTTTCTTATTATGTTTGTGACCATATTTTATCTATTTATTTAACTTGTATCCCACCCTACCCCAGAAAGAGGCTCAGGGTGGCTCACAACATAATAAAAACAATAAAGACC